TGCTGTGAATTTAGCCCAGAGAGTTTGCGGGGTTATCCTTACAAAAGCCTTCCCCTCCTAGGCTGTAGGGTGGGTGCAGGGCACAGAGCTCTGCTCTTCTGCCCACAGCCCTTGAGTGTGTGACTTTGTTATGAAGGGGACATAAATGTCATGAACAGAGTAGGGGGATCTTGGAGCTGATGAGCAGTGGGAAGAGACAGCAAAAGGGGGATAGCAATGGCAGTGTTCAGGACCTGTTCCACTGCAAACCCCTGACCATGAGGCCAGTGCTCACCTGCTTCAAATCTCTGTTTGCTGACTTGCTTCTGAGAGCTACAGCTGTGTTACAAGCAAAATGAGTTAAATAAAGACCAGCAAAATTTGCAGTAAAATAGGGTCACTTCTGGCTTCATTCAAAAGCAAAACAAAGCATGTTAAATAGATTAGAGCACTTGCAAGGAGTTGTGTGCTCCTTGCAAGTGCTGTAATGACCACGCTGCAGGTTGAGCACTATCAGAGCACTCTCCAGCTTTGGTCTTGAAGCTGGCCTACTGGGTAACCAAGAAAGGGAGATAACATGAGTAGGAGGATAAAAACAAGCCAGCTAAGGGTTGTGTGGCTCAATTTGTTGCTTGCTGGCCTTGGAAGGTTTTTGTCTGTGCTCCTCCCTTCAAAGGGGCAGCCGCATCCCTGCTGCACGTCAGCCAGTGGATGACAAAGCCAAAGGTCTGTGGCTCATCTTCAAGAGTACAGTAAGCTATGCCTAGGCTGGGTGGTTAAAGCACTTTGTTTCAGAAGCAGGAGACACCCATTTAAAACCCGTGAAGGTAAAATGAGATTTGGCTCCTTGCTCATGATAAACTTGTGTTTGTGTGGGTGTAGAAGAAGGGTGTTTGTACCCAAAAACTTGCAAAGAACAATTTTTTTTCCAACTATTTAGGTGGTCTAATAAAAGATATCATATTTACCTAAAAAACCTCGTCTGCCCGTGTCCTTAGACCAACACGGTTACAACCAACAACCTTTGGGTGTAGGATGCATTCAGTCCTGCAGTGGAAATGGAGGGGGAAATGGGTGGTGAATCAGGAGGGTCAGAGTCTAAGGCAAGCCAAGGTGCATGATCACCTGGATGATGGAGCCTGCAGTTAAACAAGAGAGTTTTAGCTTATTAAAACGTAGTGCTAACCTGACCTGGATGTAAGTGCTTGGACTGATGCTGGAGCGGATGGCTTAGCAGCTCAGTCAAGGCACCTAGAGTTTTAACTTGTGGTCAATAGAGTCACAGTCATAGAAAAATAGGGTGGGAAGAGACCTCCAGAGGTCATCTAGCCTGAAGCAGGATCATCCCTATCCAAACTCACCCATACAAATCCTTGAGTAACCTTACACAAGCAACCTTGTCAGACAAACACAAGGCATAGCACCCAACCAGCCACAGATAAAGCAGGGGGGGCAATGGAAGTCTGTGTCCTGCTGCTGCAAGGGTTGCTAAAATATGCTGGAGATATCCCAGAAAGAGGGCCATGCCTCCTTCCCCAACCCCTCCTACAGTGGAAGACAACCCCCCCCCAGTCTGTACCAATCTGATCAGAGGGTCAAATTCCTTCCTTACCCCATTTGTGGTGTCCCTGGGCAGAGGGGCAAGGAAACTCTGGGGTTTAGTCCCAAATGGAGCACTGGCACAGCCCAGTCAAAATCCCCAGCCAACTCCCCTATACCTCCAAGGAACATGGAAACCTTCCCAGATGTGTAGCAACAGGGATGGGGGAAAAAAACCCTTCCCGATCCAATATGGCAATCTGCAAAACCAAAAAAGCCTTGGAAAGACTAAACACCCTCCAGTCTACTCTGCAACCTGGGGGCAGCAAGTGTCACTCAACACGTCACTCTCTTACTGGACAACCACATTTCTCTTTTCTGTATCCCCTTTCCTGATCCTTAATTCTTCTTTCATAATTCAGCCAGTCGTGTAGCTCTGCTTTATTCTCCTGCTGCTGAGTCTGGCCATCTCCAATATCCACCTTCTTTAGGTTGCAGACTCTTTTTATCAAGCCAAGCCAAGTCAGATCAAGTCGAACCAAGCCAAGCCAAGCCAAGCCAAGCCAAGTCAGATCAAGTCAAGTCAAGTCAAGTCAGTCCCAAGGCCTCTGTGACCATTGGGGCATGCTTATCATCATCTCCCAGAAATCTGTATGGGGCAAAGAGGGCTATTGGGGACTCTTGCTCTTTACAGAAAACTCCAGGCGTAGCTACTCCTAAACCATCCCTGACCAATGCCTGTCCCATCTCTTCTTAAACGCCTCCCATGTTGGAGACTCCACGACTTCGTTAGGGGTTTGTTCCACCTCCTCACTGCTCAAACAGCAAAGAAGTTTTTCTTGATATCCAATCTAAACCTACTTTGCTCCAACAAAGCAACAAACCGGATGGTAACCTAAAGCCACCAGCACCAAAATGTGCTGGGGGGGGGAGTCTCAACAGATTCTCTAAGAGAGGAGTATTCCCAGGTCCCTGGATTAATTAGGTCTCAATATTAAGGAGTGTTGTTTTGGGGGCTGTCATTCCACCTCCTGGTTCAGGTGTGTCCTGGTAGGAAAGGCAGCAGGCGTATACCTCCTTCTGCCATCCCCCGGTGACTGGAGATAGAAGGCTACTCTGGAGGTGGGCAGAGGGCTTAGTTCTCCTAGCTCGTCAGGTCAGCTGTGAAAGTCAAATTGACTTTTATATATATAAAAACAGCGCAGACAGGCTGGAGGTTGCCCTCTTGTAGGAAGTCCCTTCTTTTCCCCAGGGTGCAAAACTGTGACTGAATTAGAGGCTCCCTTTTATCTGCGGGGATTAGAAGGCAGGCTAGCTGTCAGCTGTGCAGCTGGAATGCAGGAAGCATGCCTTTCCCTGGAAAGAAAACACACGGCGAAAACCCTAGATATTTTCTTTCCGTCTCCTTCCAACCATGTGTGTGCGCGCGAGTGTGTGTGATTTGCACTCCTTCAGGTCACTGCACACAGCACAGCAGAAAAAACAAACCCCAAACCCCCAAGGAGTCAGCTGAACGGAGCAGCCGAAGCCGTAGTAGCTGCAGCAGCAGGGGGGCAGCGTGTGAGAGGCTTGGCGGTCCTGGGGCTCCTTTGAACATTTGCTGGTGGAAGAAGATGATTGAGGTCATGGCTGTGTTCTGAGCGACCGCTCTTTCCAGTTTGGGGGTATTAGCCATTAATTAGGAACAGGTGTCTGTTGTCTAGACGGCCATGTGAGATAGCTAGAGGGAATCAGATGCTCAGGTGATTATTGGTGAAAGGCAGGGAATTAGCCACTTAATGAACCCCTCTCTGTTACTTTTTTTTTTCCTCTCTTTCTCTGCTTGGGATGTCTTTTTTTTCCCCCTTAGGGAGCTGACTAGAGAGAAAGGCACAAGGTAGTGCCTGGTTCATGTTATCAGAAGACCCAAGAGATCCCTTGGTGAGATGTCGTACGGTTGAAGTTTCTATGGGGAGCCTCTGCTGTTTGCAGTGAATCTCATCTCCTCCTTAAGGAGCTTTGCTGGGAAATGAACAGTTGAGACATGTGGGTGTTGCAACGAATCAAGTGAACCCAAGTGTCATTTTGTTCTTGCTTTCCTACAGGGTGCAGTTGCATTATAGAGAAGACATCACAAGATATTTGATGGCCATGGGTGGTTAGCTGAACAGCACTTCTTGCTCTAGGCTGAGGCACCAGGTGAGGACAGGCTCTGTGCTACCTGTTGCTTTGCCTTCTCTAATTCCTGGGTGCTAGAGCACCCACCTGGGCTTTGGCAACCTCCTCGCTCAGTGCACATTTGTCTCTGAAATATTAGAGATGGGGTGGGGATGGGAGGGGACTCTGGGCTTGATGGGCCATTGGTTTGATCTGTTATGGAAATCCTTGTGTCTTATTTTATCTGATCTCTGTTGCTACCTCATATTTGAGGATAGTCACCCTGGGCTGTAGTTCTGTTACATCTTGCCAGGTAAGTGGCTAGAAGTGGGGATGGGAGGTTAATAACTAATGTGCAGGTGGCACAGAGTGAGATGCAATTTGATGTATGTGAGCGGAGGTCTTTCTTTCCTCTGACTCCTTGATCAACCAAGACTGGGCTAGGGAGCTGGACTGCTGAATAGTGCTTGTGCTCATTGGAAATGACTCTTTGTAGAGTAGCCTCAAGGTGAAAGCAACCCCCTTTGGCTTACAAACTGGGACTTCCAGAGCTAAAAGCATCAGTTGCTACACCTTGAGCTAAAGCTAAGGGAGTGGCTGTGAATGTGTGTGCCTGGAAGAACAAGTCTCTACTGGGACTCAAACTTACAGAGGGATCGATTACTCACAGGGTGCGTGGCTGTGAATGTGTGTGCCTGGAAGAACAAGTCTCTACTGGGACTCAAACTTACAGAGGGATCGATTACTCACAGGGTGCATCTACATGTGCAATTACTGCTATTTGGCTTTACTGCACAGTAAATGTACTACCTACATATGTAAATAGCAAGGCCAAATAGCATGAGCAGGTAATATATTTACTGCACAGTAGACTAATTTATTTTGTAGTAAGCACCTGCACATGTAGACGATGATGCTCTATTGCACAGTAAAGCATCTCGTGTAGACACAGCCACAGATAGGGGTACACTGGAGGTGCTTACCCTATTTTGAATTCAGTTTCCATCAACTTCCCATCTGACTGTATTTGGCTGCTGCTGCTCTCATCCTTAAATGGCTAGATAAGGCTTTCTGGAACCTCTTGGCATGAGAGGTGGGTATGTCCAAATACCGTATAATAGTTCTTGGCTCTAGCATGCTGCTAACTTGACTCCTGCAGAGTTTCCATCAGCAGAATGACTTTAATTGGTTCCATGTAGGCAGGGAGAATGACATCTAGGATATGAATATTGCTTTCTGTTGCATAGAAAATATGCAAGAGTGGGCAGTGGAGTGCTGGTTTCACATGCACGGTTTTGTTAGTAAGGGTCATAACTTGTTGAAGACCAGAAGTTTAGGTTCACATCATTTCCAGGAGGGTATGAGGTGCTGTGCAATTCTTAAGGCCTGGTGTTTTTTTTGGTGGCCTTATCTGCCATCAGAGATGGTGTCAAACACCAAACATATAGAGCATTTGGAGCATATATTCAGAGCAGCTCTGGGAGATGCTGGTGTCCCTATTCCAAGTACTCGGTCTGTGGAAATTGCCATCATTTGAGGCATCCTTGTTGGCAGCCTCACTTGGAAAGGTTTGGAAGAGGAATGTTCCACAACAGCAGTTGCACAGCATGACCTGTCCCAGTGGGAATTTAGCACGTCAATGAAGTGACCTAGGACCTAGAGCAGCAGGCTTGGAAAAGGTATTGTCTACAGTTTTAGAGCCAAGAACTTTGCAACAGGAGACTTGAGTTTTGCTCTGTAACCTTGGGCAAGTTACTTATCCTCTTGGTGCGCTGGCTTCAGGTCTGCACTCTGGGCATAACACATGCATGGGATGGCAGGCTTTGTGTTGGGGCAATGTATTTCATATCTATACAGCATTTCAGTGCACAGCCTTGGGGCTGAAAACAAGGGGGTGCATTTGCTCTGAGTATGCACTTACCTGAACTCAATACAAATAATGCTTGTTAAGGACAGGGAGAGTTCACCCCAATTTTCTTGTACCGCATACCCTCATTCTCAGAGCACATTATGGTTCTAATAGCAACCTTGACATCTTCAGGATCCAGTAGGTTCAAGGCTGCTTCAGAAGCTATGAATTTGATGACTTCTGGTCCAGTGCACTAAATATGCAGTTGAAAGGAATGAGTTATATTCCTGTGCACTTAAGCATATAGTTTATGTACTCAACCAATATGCAGAAAACAGTTTGCTACCCTTGACTGGCACATGACTTATGAGCAGAGGGAGTTGGGTGTATTTAGTTTGGAGAAAAGAGAGACTAAGTGGGGATTGAATAGCAGCCTTCACCTCCCTGCAGGGGGTTGCAAAGAGGATGGAGCTGGACTGTTCTCAGTGGGGGCAGATGACAGGACAAGGAGCAATGGGCTCACCTTGCAGCGAAGGAAGTTTAGGTTGGATATTAAGAACATTTCGCTCACTAGGAGAGTGATGAAGCACTGCAACAGAGGGTGGTGGACTCTCCATCCTTGGCGATTTTCAAGATCTGGATAGATAAACCCTTGGCTGGCATGATATAATCAGGGACGGTCCTGCTTTGAGCAGGGAGTTGGACTAGATGTGACCTCCTGAGGTCCCTTCCAACCCTATTTTTCTATAACTTTATCATTCTAACTGGTTGGAGAGCTGTTGTAGCTATGATGATCCAGGGAGCATGCAAAATGCCTGTTGTCTTTGGTAATCTCTGTTATTGGATCAGCTGTATAGTTGGGAGAGATGTTTGTTACAATTTAATATTAAAAAAATGGGACGGATGTGTTCAGCAGTGAATTATGCTCTTTCCTGATGCACAGAAGTGGCATATTCAGTATTAATTGGCTCACAGTATTATAGGCATCTGTCAATGTATAGAAGTGAAACCCAGATATTAAATATATACATATACTTAGGCTGATAGGAAAGTAGAGCTAGAAGGAACCTCACAAGGTCATGTAGTCTAGTGCCTGCTCAAGGTAGGATCATCCCTGACTAAACCATGCCGGCTATGTATCAGCCTAACTTGCCCTTGAAACTTCCCAGGGATGGAGATGCCACAACTTTCCTTCATAGTCAGAAATATACCCCTAATCTCCAACCTAAATCTCCTCTGCTGAAGTGGGAGGTCATTGCTCCTAGTCTTGTCCCCTACAGCCACAAAGAGACAAGTCTATCTCCATCCTCTCTATACTTGTTCTTTAGGTATGTTGGAAATCCTCCTCTGTCTTTTCTCCTCCAAACCAAGCGACCCTAGTACTTTCAGCCTTTCCTTATCAATGCTCATAATGGCTTTCCTTTTCACAAGGTGGTTTCAATTCTCGTTTCATAACCATCAGGTGTCTCATCTTTCTTTATTTTTTCAGTATGGGTTCAGCAAAGCACTGAAGACCAGGGCTGACACTTTAACACATGTGATTTCAGTAGGGCATCAGCATGGGCTTAAAGCTAAGCATGTTCTCAAGTGCTTGGCTGTGTTAGGCCTCTGAACTCTTTCTGCCCCCTCATCCTTTCTCACTGCTGCTTCCAAATCTGCCCTGAAAAAATAGGTCCCAAATTGACGTCACTGATCTATGGCAAGGAACATTGTTGGTATCGAATCAAGTCTTATGTTAGCATAGACTTCAACCTGATTTTTCAGGTGGAGGAGTCAAAAGTTGACTGCTGTAAGAAGGGCAGATCGGTCAATCCAGGTGAGCTCTGCAAGTAATTTACTGTCTTTTGGGGTGTAAATGAAAACCTCCTATTGGTTTGTACAGATATGGCTTTTGCTTTGATCTGGGTATTGACCACACAAGGGGCTAAATTGCATTGCACTTTTATACGCCACAGTGGCATTTAGGTACACACGAAATGGCAATCTTTAGCATGTAGGACACAAACGCACCCTTGGAATGGTTTAAATGTGGCTTAAACCTGAAGTGGACAGACATACAAGCCTATTAGACTGGTTTAAGTCCACCTAGAGTGGTTCAAAAATGTACCTGGAAAATCAAATACTCTTTTGAAGTTTTTGAACTCATGTTTCAGAGTGAAGGAGAAGTTGGAAAGTGGCACAGGTCACCCACCCCCCTGAAAGCCCCAAAGCATGGGTGCAAAAAGTTCTCCTACACTCACTCACTGCTGGGCTGGGTTAGGGTTATCTGCTACTTTGCACAGTCCTGGCACAAAGGGACTCTATTCTCCTTGACCTCCAGGCACAATCATAATAGACCGAGGTAAAAATAAGAAGAGCAGGGGTCATTTTTTGTTCAGTATTTTTGTGGTGCCTGGCATGATGGAGACCTATTCCATGATTGTGACTACTAGCCTCCACCATGATGCAAAGCATCCTCCTCCTCCTCCTTTTCCTCTGACGAAGCTGCTAAAGTTGATTCATCTTATGGCATCCTATCCCAAGAAAACTAATGCTTTCCTTCCCCCCCCCCCCCCACCCCTCACCGCTCGCCACCCCCAC